TTACATTGCATAACCTAGATGCTTACCTCGGGATGAGTAATTGTGAAGCATCTACAATTACATAGTAAAGGATTTAACTCGTTGAACTCAAGATCTAGCGTTGTACTAGACGTTGAGTTGAGATTCCTTTACTTGCAATTCATAAAACCGGCTCAAGTTCCATCCCTTGTGACATTTTGTGGACCACGTCCCTTGGCAAGCTTTTTGTGAAAGCATCCGCCAAATTTTGTTTGGTCCGCACAAAATCCACCATTATGGCCCCGTCTTTAATAAGACCATTCACATAGCTATGTCTTAACCCGATATGTCTAGACTTTCCATTGTAAACATGGCTATATGCCTTAGCCAATGTCGCAGCACTATCACAATGTATTGCAATAGGCGATACCGGTTTAGGCCATAACGGTATTTCGAATACCAAATTCCTTAGCCATTCTGCTTCTTTCCCAGCAGCCGCTAAGGCGATAAATTCCGACACCATGGTTGAATCCGAAATGCAAGTTTGTTTCTTGGAAGCCCAAGAAATCGCAGCTCCACCTAAAAGGTAAAGTCATCCACTAACCGAGGCATAATCCTCTTCACTAGAGTTTCAACTCGCATCGGTGTATCCTTCTAACACCGAAGGTTGACCCGTGTAGCGTAGACCATAATTAATTGTCTTTTTCAAGTACCGAAGTACTCTCCGTACAGCATTCCAATGATGTACGCTTGGGTTACTCGTGTATCTGCTCAACTTCCCTATTGCGTATGCTATGTCGGGTCGAGTGCTAGTCATAGCATACATCAAACAACCAATGACACTAGCGTACTCAAGTTGAGCTACCGGTTCCCCACTATTAGGTGCAAACTTAGCGCTACAATCCATCGGAGTAGAAGCCGGAGGGCTTTCAAACATATCAAATCGTTTTAACACTTTCTCTACGTAATGTGATTGAGATAGTGTTATCGAACCTTGATCCCGTTTTATCCTAATGCCTAGGATAACATCAGCCTCACCTAAGTCTTTCATCGAAAACTTCGATGACAAGAAGTCTTTTGTCTTCTTGACTTGCTCTAATTCTGTACCGAATATGAGCATGTCATCCACGTATAAGCAAATGATAACTCCATGACCGTTATCATCAAACCTGCTATATACACACTTGTCTGATTGATTCAGACGAAATCCATTAGCCAAAACGACCTCATCAAACTTTTGATGCCATTGTTTGGGGGCTTGTTTCAACCCATACAACGATTTGACTAACTTGCACACCTTGTGTGCTTGTCCCGATAGGATAAAACCTTCTGGTTGCTTCATATACACCTCTTCTTCTAGATCACCATTCAAGAATGCCGTTTTGACATCCATTTGGTGGATCACAAGATTGTTTATCGCTGCAAGAGCAATCAACAATCTTATTGTAGCTATTCTAGCTACCGGTGCATACGTATCAAAGAAATCGATACCTTCTTTTTGTCTAAATCCTTGAGCTACTAGACGAGCCTTGAACTTAGCAATAGTTCCGTCGACTCTCATCTTCTTTTTGAAGATCCACTTACAACCAATCGGTTTACAACCTGGAGGAGGATCTACTAAGACCCAAGTGTTGTTGCTCATGATGGAGTCCATCTCATCATTAATCGCTTCTTTCCAGAATGCGACATCCTGCGATCTCATCGCTTCATCAAAAGTCCTAGGGTCTCCCGCGATATTGTAAACATAAGCGAGTTGAGTCACGATCGACTCATTAGTACCTTCTACTAGGTACATATGAAAGTCCGGACCAAAGGTTTTACTTTTCCTTATACGCTTACCTCTACGAGGTTCACCTTGTCCGTCATCATGATCGACTACTCGATCACTTGAGCTTGGTATAGCTCGAGGTTGTCTTTCAACCGAAGAAAAACGATTCTCGTCAAACAATGCATCTCTCGACTCTATAACCGTGTGAACGGGTATATAGTCATTCTGTTCTATAATATAGAACCTATAGGCCTTGCTATGAGAAGCATAGCCTATAAAGATACATTCGATACCTCGTTCACCCAATGTTTTACGTTTGGGTTCCGGCACTTTAACTATTGCCCGACAACCCCAAATCCGAAAATAATTCAGATTTGGTTTTCGCTTATACCATAGCTCATATGGGGTTATTTT